CAGGAAAGTTATTTTTTAGAGAAAGGTGATGTTTAGAGAATCAGAAAAATGAGAATTTCCTGAACAGGTTGGTATCAGTTAAAGGATTATGTCTGAATAATGCTAGAGACTGGCCAGGACCTTGGAATTTGGAAAACACATTTATCAGATCACAAACCCATCTAATAGCTTCCTGTTGTTTGCAAGGAGGAAGACCACATTCCCTGAGCATGCATTCACTTATTTACTCAGAGTCCATAGACCCATGGTGTTCTAGAAGCATGGCATTTCTGTTCTCTAACATCCTGCCACTTAACTATATTCATTTATCACTTCCAGGAGGTGTTTTTTTTTTTCTTCAGATTCTTTTGGGTTTTCTATATACATAATCATGTCATCTGCAAATAGAGATAATTTTACTTGTTCTTTCCCTATTTGAATGCCTTTTAGTTTACTCTCTTGTCTGATTGCATTGGCAAGGACTTCCAGTACTGTATTGAAGAGGAGTGGAGAAATTTATAAAAAGTAGTGATGTATATCATCATTATCCAAAATACTTGAATATTTTTTTGTTATTTAAGGATACTCACCAAAGCAAATTAAATAGATGTGTTTGTTATATGTTTGTGTTCCAATAACAGAAAGTTAATACTGGTAATTAAGATATATATATTAAGGAAACAAAATAAACAAAGACTAAAATACAGTTATTTTTGCCATAGTGCCATATAGTGCTTCAGAAAAACTCACATTTTGCAGAATCACACACTAAAATAACAGGGCTTATGAGAAAAGCAGTGTTGGTACAGAATACTTCCTACCACATTAATTTGTAAGTATAACTATAACAATAGACTACCGATTCACATATTAGCGCACCCATATATGTCTGGTATCATGCTTCTCTCTTAAAGACATTTTCTTCTAGTGGACACCAATTAAATAAAAACTGAAAACATAACTCAAGCATATCCATCATCAATTAGGACATTTTGTTTGTTTTCATAGTGGGGCAATGTCTTCATGTCTCCCTCTGTGATACAGGGTTTTTTACAATTCCAGACAAAATACTATTATATTTATACTTTCCAAAATAGCTTAATGTAGATGAAAGCTGGGCAAATTCTTAAGCCAATAAAGTAATCACTTCTTGCAAGAAAGGAAGGCACTTCTGTATGTTTTTTATAATTATTCTTAAACTGAGAAAACTTACCTCTGGTCATTTCAGATCATTAGCATGCTGGAATAGGATTGTATACAGTTTTGCATTATACTGACAAGATTACTCTATTTGCCAATTACATATAAACTAATTGTTATTTAAGAATCAACTAGACCGTAGCTAAAATAATTATGTATAAGTACTTCAAAGGCATGGATAGAATGAACACAGGTAAAGGTGGTCAGATTTGATGGACTGTAAATTGCAAGTATAGTCAAAAATCTAGAAAGATGTGGTTCAGACCAGCAAAGTTATACAAATATTATAGTTTAAAACAAAAAAGGGATTTATTTTCTAAAAGGTTTTGTATGTGTCCCAGGACTTTCCAGAGCATAATGGTATCCAGTACATATTAAATTATAAAGTAGTCTGAGGAAGGAGAATTTGCTAGTAGAGAACTCACTCAGAGCAGTCAGAGCTGGAAAGAGAATGAAAGAGGTGATATCAGCACAGCCAACATAGTACAGGGTCAAGAGGAAGAGAGAGCCAGTGTCACGTGCTCCAGAAGGGTCAGGTACCTGGGGACTGAGGGTCCATTGGATTTGCCAGTGAGGTCAGTGGTGGCCTTTGCCTGCTAGCGTGATTTCTGTGGTGATAAAGTGAAAATTGGAAGTCTATTTTAGTGGGTCAAAGAGGAAAGAAATGCAGAGTGAGAAAATGAAAAATTAATCAGTACATCCTGATGAGCTATCAGAAATATAGTGGAAATACACCAGGATGATGAGGGGAAGAGGTGCGTGATTGAGGGCTGGAAGACATACTCAAATAACAACATTTTTATAAACACATGAGGAAACTAAGACCCAAAAAGGCTTAGTAGTTGACACGATGGCAAAATCAATAGTAGCAGTTAGAACAGACGGCATCTACATCTTGATGCCAAATTGCCAGCATATGCAGGCAAACTCTTAACCCAAACAGGAGGTGGGGAAATACTTTTTAATGGTTTCTTTTAGTATGTGAACTTATCCTTTCTTAGTTATAGAGGGAATAAGTTGTAGTTATACTAGAGTGTATTTATTGTACATGCACTACTGTGTTGTTAAAAACAACTAGCTGGATCTGAAACAAAATGCCAAATTCAGTCATGTTGCAAATGTGCAAAACCAAGTCAGTGTATGTATTCATAATCAATTCAGAGAGAAACTTTAAGTTGCCACAGTTTTGTTTCTTATTATAGTCATTAATATTTTTAAATAATGTTACAAAAGTACATATTGGCTTAGAAATGTAAAGTACTGAATCCTGAAATAAGTATTCTTATTTATAGGTGGTATTTCTTATAAAGTTGTATGAAGATAAAATATTCACAGCATGTATTTTTTTATTATCATACCAGAATATAATTTTAGTTTTTGGTATAAGAGCACCACCTATGGGTTTCTCATGTATTCGGAAAATTTTTCTTAAAGCCTGATAAGATGAAGCCTAATGAAATACTTTCTACTTTTTTCCTATAATTAGTCTATTTATTTATGTAAAGGCTAACAATTTCTACTTGGTCATAAATTGATCTCATCAAGTTTTCTGCTGTATCTCACTGCTGTTAAATCAACTAACAAGCATTTGAGTGTTTATATGTCAGAATGGTATTCTAATTCCAAGTTAAATATAATTTAACTCAAAATTGTAGTATTCTTTGTAAGTAAAGGATTTTTTTTTTAATGAAAATGAATAATTTTCTATCTTTGGGGACGGGGGTAATGATTAGTGTGACTATTTATTTACATCTTTCTGAACATAAGAACTCCAGAATGCTTTTGCAAGAGAGAATAAAAAAAGGTCTTGTAAGTGACTTAGAGTATCATTTTATTAAATTACCGTGATGATAGTTCAGAGCAGAGTAGAAGCAAAACTGACTGTATTTTATTTAGTAGGACCTTAAAATTGAATTACATTTGGATAAATTTAGTCTTTTTATGAAATGTTGTTCATTAAAATTAAGATGTTTTATGAGAAATTTACTTTTTTAAAGTAAATTATTTTTAGAATATTTTAAGTAATCATATTTATTCTCTTTCTTTCTTCTGAGAGAGAGAAAGGAGGAGACACCCCAGACAGGGCATCACACTGTGACCTACCCAGTGTCAGCCAACCCAGATCATGGGCATGCACATGAGTGGCTGCCTAGGACACAAATGGAGGACCTTTCAGTTTGGGTCCAGTAGCATTATCAATGCTCCACTGTTGACTGCCGGAAATTTACTCTTAACAGAACTTCATGACACAACGATGAAAAGAAAAAAAGATTTGATATGCCTAGTCAATGAGATAAGTGCTGTGGCTCCATGTATTGTGTATGTGTGTATTATCCCATGAATCTCCATGTTCTGAAAATAATTCAACACACGACCCCCTTTGGTAGATGCACCCTAATTCCAGGGTATTTTAGGCATGAGCTTTTTTTTATGCAGTAGAATATACTTTTGAAATTTTGATTACATGTTTTCTTTTTTTTTTAACTTTATTCATTTCAATTTGATCAGAGAGGGGGAAAGAGAGAGAGCGAATGCAAGCGCGGGGGATGGTGGGGAGTGAGAAAGCAAGCCTCCAGGTTCAGGACTCAACCCTGGTCGGCCATGTGGGAGTCCAGCGCCCTTAACCACCATGCCACCTGCCAGCCCCAAGATGCCTCCTTTGACACTTAGTTAATAATAACTTTTTTTTTTTTTTTTGGAGAGGTGTTTGCTATAGGGCGCGTGCACTCGCCAGACAGACAGAGACAGAGAGATAGAAAGTGAGAAATCGCCCCCCGGGAGGATGGCCACGCCACAATCCCTTCTCCTCCATTCTCCTCTTGGGATCTTGGGCATTCGTGCACATGCACCCGGCGTGAGTTCAAGCCACCAGGTCCAGGACTCAAACCACGGTTGGCTACATGGGAGTCCAGCGACATAGCCATTACACTAACTGCTGGTCCCTTGATTACATGTTTTCTTCAGGAAATGGGTGCCATAGGGCATGTGCACTGTCTAGAGAGAGAGAGTGGGAAAGTGAGAAATCACATCCTCAGAGAAGGCCATGCCATTCTCCCTTCCCTTCCACTTTCTTCTCAGAACTTTGAGGGCACACACGCACATACACTGTGATTTTTTTTTTTTAGCCACTGGGTCTGTGACTCGAACTTCAGTTAGCCATGTGGAAGTCCAGTGCCTTAACCACCATGCCATCTGCTAGCCCTGCCCAGGGATATTTTTTCTACTTGGAGGAGAATAACTAGTCAGATTATCAGCTGAATTCTGGGTAGGTCAGGTGTTAACTATATTATAGTACGAGTTCAAAATAATGCAAAGAGAAGAATCCAAGAAAATGTTGGTATTAATTTCAAATTACTGTGTACTTGTGGGGTTTTTTTTCTGGTGATATCTGTCACATACTGATTTTCTGATAACTCTTTGAAGATTTTATATTTAAATAATGTAGGAGTTATTTGTGACCTTATAAAGTTTATAAGTATTAATGGCATACATTGAGGAAATACTTTGCAGTAACTTTTAATGTTTTGCAGTCTTTACCCAACCATTTAACTTCTTAAAAATTACAGTCCAACATCTTATTATTGTGTTTAAAGTATCTTAGAAGTAACGTGCTGCTCTTAAGGATTTAAACACAGTCATGTTTAGGTAGTTTTTAATAAAGTAAATTGCCGGAAGTTTTTTTTTTTTAAAGATAGATGGATTAAGGAACTAATAGATTGATGGGTGGATGGATGCATGCATATGTGCGCGGCTTTCTGTGGTTAAAGCTTACAATCCTGATTCAAATGCTTACTCAGTGATCCAGGTGAAAACTTCCTTACCTGCCCGAAATATGTAGTAAATTAGGATAAGGTACTTTGCCTAAAAAGGAAGAAACAAAAATAGCTCATTAGAATAGAAGAAGCTTTTGAAGGCTGATAACAATATGTCTGAAGTTTTTTAAAAGTAAATACCGATTTACTTAGTGCTATGTTTTTAAATATAATAATTAGCTAAGGTTACTTTGGCTATCTTCCAGCTTGTGGGGAGACTCCAGAACAAATTCGAGCACCAAGCGGTATAATCACAAGCCCGGGCTGGCCTTCTGAATATCCTGCCAAAATCAACTGTAGCTGGTTCATAAGGGCAAACCCAGGGGAAATCATTACTATAAGGTAATTATGATATTTTTCTCTATTATTATATAAAATTTTATTATAGTATAAATTCAGTTTCCAAGTATTATTACATAGCATGCAGTAATATAAAAACGGTATTTTTCAGAAGATATAATAGATTATGGTTATCAGTATCTTAAAAGTAAGAATAATGGCCCATCCACCACATGTTTTTAATGTTGCTAATGGATTTGCAGTGGGTCGTCTGTATTCTTTCACACTTATTTTTAAGAAAAGGTAAAACTGGGAACCAGCAGTTAGCATAATGGCTATGTCGCTGGACTCCCACGTGGTTGACCATGGTTCACGTACCGGACCCGGTGACCTAAAACTCACACCGGGCACATGTGTGTACGTGCCCAAGATCCCGAGAGGAGAATGGAGGAGAAGGGATTGTGGCGTGACCATCCCCCCTGGGGGGTGATTTCTCGCTTTCTGTCTCCATGTCTCTCTCTGTCTGTCTGACGAGCGCACACGCCCTATAGCAAAAATCTCTCCCCAAAAAAAGAAAAGGTAAAACTATTAAAACTTGTAAAATAGTTTATTAGATCAAGAATAAGCTTTGGCAGTGGAACAGTTAATAAAATTCACTAACTGACTTGGAGATGTAGCCCATAACCTTAGTCTCATTAATAGAGTCCTCCACCTAAATGAGTAAAGCATAATTATAGGTGCATGTCTTTTTATTAGTATGTATGCATGTGCAAAATTTGAAATAAGCTGATGATAAATACTATATCTAAAAAGATATTTTTCATGTTTTTTCTTTTAGCTTTGAAACAAGTACATTTGTTAAAAATACAAAGTGAAAGGCATTCCTAGGAGAAATAATCATAAGTTTAAGATTCTCAGAATAAATAATATGATACAAATAAGGAAGGTTAATATTAAGAAGATTCAGTGAATTACTTGCAGAGAAAAACGAGGGATAAAATATTACGGTGAAAATATTCAGTAGAACTACATTTTGCTTGCTCAAGAAAATTATATCAAGGCTTTTAGAAAACAATATTTACCTAAATGGAGGGGAGGGGAATAGTGTGCGGGAACAAAGAACTGCTTATGGAACTGAAACACAAATAAGAATCCCATTCCTATGTTAGAGACAGCATTCTGCCACAGCCCAAAGGCACCTTTGACATCCTTTCATGTGTAACATTTTTATGGGTAGGAATAATAGAATTTTAGATTTAAAGGGGATTTTTCAGGTCACAGACTCAAATCTTTTCATTTTATATTTTTAAAATAAGGCTTGTGAATTTAGCCTACTTTCTCATCTCTTTCCATCCTCCTTTTAGTATTCATTAACTAATGAGAGAACCAGTCTCTCTCGAAAAGCATAACTGTTGTCTGTCCTCCTTTTTTCTTCAAAACTATAAATAGGGGCCATATGGTTTGTTTTCCTTTTAGTCCCTTCTGCCCCAGGCTACATCTTCTGGAACTGTGGAGCTTGGCACACATAAAAGCTGTTTCACTCTAAGAAAAGTATGATTCTCTTGCCTGACTGATTGTTAGGATGCACCATTAAGGTTACCATCCCATAGCAGGACCAGTATTGGAATCTGAACAATAAGCCTATTTTATGTTACTTGTAATGTGATTAAGTATAACTATGTTTACAAAATGATATTTTCACCCTCTATTGGGTGTTCCAACATACGAATAAAATAGAGATTTTTATCTCTTAACCTTGAAATTATACTAGCAGCATATCAGCATAGTTACGTAAAACTTGGAAATTTCTTGCCAGCACAGAAGAGATTACATAGAATACCGCCATCTGGTTTTGATCAAGTGTTGGATCCTTAAGATTTCAAAAGTAAGATACACAAAAAAACCAATCATAGTACTGAAGTCCAGAATAAAATTGGAGGTGAGCCCTACATCTGAAGGGCTATTTTTTAAATTCTAGAAGGAGTTAATGAATTTACATTTATACAGACTAGAAGGTGAATTTAATAAATGTCTAAGTCATCATGATGGTAATACTAAAACTTTCAAAAGATAACACATGGGCCGGCCCCATAGCACAGCAGTTAAGCACTGTGCATAGAGCCAGATCTCACATGGCTGACTGTGGTTGATATCCTGGCCCTGGCAAATGTGGAAGATGCCAGGCTTATTTGCATGTGTGTTCCCAGATCTTCATAGGACTTGTGTGTGTGACCACGCCCCATTGGGGGTGTTTTGTCTTTGGTGGGTGCACATACCCTTTGGTGGCTAAAAAAATAAATAAAAGTGACATATATGTGTGTGTGTGTGTGTGTGTGTGTGTGTGTGTATGTATACACACAAAGATAGAAGACAAGTTACACATGTGATTATTGATACACAATCTTAAATGATTCAAAAGAATCATGTGCCATAATCGAATGCAGCTCATTTAGACATAACAATGAGTTTGTATTGGGAAATTTTAATTGCCACATTATAATAACAAGTCAAAAGAGAAAGTATATGATAATCTAGAGTAGATAGATACTTTAAAGCATTTTGGTTAAAAAAAATCAGTATTTCTACATTTAAAACAAAATTCTTAGTAAAATAGAATTAGAAACATAACTTTTAAAGAAATTGGGGCAGAAGGAAAATAAAAGTACAAATATGAACAATGTTGAGTGTTCTGTGTATAAAACTGGCTGGAAATATAGATATAAAGACATTTTTACTTCTCCCTTGAAACCCACCAAAATCAACAAAAGTCCCCTTATCTATAGGATATAGCAGATTGGATCTTAGTATTCTCCTTGAAGCCAAGGAGTGGGGTCAGGCTATTTTGCTCAAGAAAGCAAACTGAAAAAAAACTTCCATTAATCATTGCCTGAACTTACATATTGCAGAGAGCTTAGAGAGATGGAAGGACAAATATGGACAACCAAGCTAGCTACTGACATGGTGACAGGATCTGTAGTATTCTGAACCATCATTTAAGACTGGTCCTGGAGGGCCAGCAGGTGGCGTAGTGGTTAGGGTGCTGGACTCCCACATGGCTAATCATGGTTTGAGTCCCAGGCCCGAAGGCTTGAAACTCATGTCAGTTGTGTGTGCATGTGTGCCCAAAATTCTGAAAGGAGAATGGAGAAGAAGGGATTGTGGAATGGCCATTCCCCTCACTTTCTCTCTCTCTCTCTTCAGCAAGCGCACATGCCCTATAGCAAAAATCTCTTTAGATACCCATGTAGGGGAATACAAAAGAAAAGATTATCAAAGCACTTTCCACAAAATAAGCCCACCACTCAACATTCTACAATATGAAAGAATTTAATGCTAAGAAAACCAACTAACAAAATCAAGTTGGATCACAAACTTACTCTAGACACTGTAAAATTTACTATGTTAGAGGTTCTTAATCTTTTTTATACCATGGACACTTGGTAGTCTGGTGAAACCTATGGATTTGTTTCAGAATAATGTTTTTAAATTTGTAAAATACAAAGCATCTATAAAGGAAACCAGGTACATTGAAGTATAGCTATCAGGCATTAAAAAATATATTTATAATGTATATAATTATAGGGACCAGCAGTTAGCGTAATGGCTATGTTGCTGGACTCCCACGTAGTCGACCGCGGTTCGCGTCCCAGACCCAGTGGCTTAAAACTCACGCCGGGCGCATGTGCGTGCGTGCCCAAGATCCCGAGAGGAAAATGGAGGAGAAGGGATTGCGGCGTGGCCATCCCCCCTGGGAGATGATTTCTCGCTTTCTGTCTCTCTGTCTCTCTCTGTCTGTCTGGCGAGCGCACGCGCCCTATGGCAAAAACCTCTCCCCCCCAAAAAAAAAGTATATAATTATATTTAATAGCACATCGAAAGATCCAAGTGATGGTCCTAATAACAATTTCGAAGTGGTTTTGAATGTAAGTAATATTTTTAGATATCTGTAAAAGTTGAAATGTAATATGAAAATGTCTCTGATTCCTACTAGTGACAGAGTGACAGGTACTGTAAATACTGTCATGGTTTGTTATTTATATTACAAGTGAGGGGAATGCTCAGTGTTAGAAGTTAGTGAAAATGAAGCTGTAAGTTGTTTCTAACCAGTTTGAAAAATTGAGAGTGTACAAACTGAAACTCAGGCCAGTTCCATAGCTAGGGGATCTATATCACATGGCCCACCAAGGTTTAAATCTGACCCCAGCAGCTTGAAAGGCGCACTGGGCACATGTGCACATGTGCCCCAAATCCTGACCGGGTAGGAAAATGGAAGACAAGGGATTCTGGCAAGACCACACCCCCCCCACTGGCCAGGATTTGAGCCACACTCTCAGTCATGTGGGATCCAGCTCACTTAACCACTAGAACCTTAGGCCCAGTATTTGAATTAAACTTTTTGAGTATCTAATTAAGCAAAGGAAACTTGTTAAAAAAAAAAGTTTTAGGCCCAGCCACAATGATGTGTGCTGCTGAGATGCTGTGCTTCACAAGCTGGGACTACATGGGAGGCCCAGGTTTGATTCCCAGTCTGACCAAAGACTGGCTAGAGCGGCATGTGCCTCTAATCCCAGCAACTCACGGAGCCTGAGGGAGGAAGCTGGTGACAGGGAAACCCTGTCTTTTAAAATAAAAAAATTTAAAAATTATTAATTCAAACAATGACAGGAATGGTTGAAAATAAGAATTCTCCCCCAAATAGAGCATAATACATAAAACACAAGTGGATTAACTCACACTTTTTAAAAATGGATTATCACATCAGATTAATTGGTTGATTGGCTTTTATGATCCTGTCATAGAAGGTTCATATTTAAAACTAATACAGAAAGTCTAAAAAGGAAGACTAGAAAAAAAAATGTATTTTGGAGATGCCAATCAAAAGAAAGCTAGTAGAGGAAGATTAGCATCAGATATAATGAATCTTAAGGCACAAAATATTAGTGACAAATGAGATAATCTACCAGGAAGATATAATTTTAGTAAATGTCATGTACATAGTAACATAGCCTAATATATATGCAAAGCAAATATGTGGAGAATTACCAAGCAAATGTGACTTACCCACAATCATAGTGGTAGATTTTTAACACACAGATCCTGTATCATTCAGATTGAGTTTTCTTAGCTGCAATACAATTAAAGAGAAAAAAATAAAACCTGTCTGTTTGGAAACAAATTTATAAATAATTTATGCATTAAAGAGGAAATCACAGTAGAGCTAAATATTTTCTTAAATAACCACAGCGAGGCCCGGCCTATGGTGGCATAGGCAGCAAGGGGACTGCTACGTGATGCTGAAAACCTTGTGAGAAGGCGCCAGGTTCGCCTCCCAAGTCTGCCTCAGCCTATCAGGCATGCCCGGGATCCTGTCTGGCTGCAGGGCTGAGTTGAGGATTGTGGCAAGAGGACTTCTCTCCCTCTTTCTTCTTCCCCCCTCCCCCTCTTCTCTCCCTCCTGTCTGTCTGTCTGTCTGTCTGTCTCTCTCTCTCGTCTTGCTCTCTCAGAAGTAAATAAACAAACCTTAAAAATAAGATAACCATAGCAAAAGTATTACATATTAAAACTGTTAGAGCACACTGAAAGAGTACTTAGAGAAAAATTTAGAGCTTTAATACACTGATTTAAAAAGTAGTAAGGAAAGTAAATAACCTCAACATTTAACACATGAACATGGAAAAAAATTACAGGATATATTTTACAGTAAAAAAGATGATTTTGGGAAAATAAACAATAAAATTCAATAAAACAAACTTTTTCTGAAAAGGGAAAAATATGTAAAGCTTAAGGGAAGGCTAAAGAGAAAAGATACAAATAAAAACGAGCAAAAGTATCTGTGCTAATAGGGATTTTAAAAGTTACAAGAGAATATTATAAACAATTCTATTTTAATACTTTCATATAACTGTATGAAATGAATAATTTTCCAGAAAAATTATATTCTTAAGATTGATTCCAGAACCAGAAAACTGATTAAATTAATAGCTATAAAAGAAACGGAATTATCCTTCAAAATAAGACGCCAGGCCTAGACAGTTTATAAGTAAGTGATTTGGTTTTTCTTTTTAAGAGTTTTCTGCCTTAGGGCATTTGTGCTCACTGGAGAGAGAGAGAGAGACAGAGACATTGAGAGAGAAAATGAGAAGTACCCCTCTGCCCCCCCACCCCCCGCCCAAGGGGAATGGCCATGCTTCAATCCCTTCTCCATTCTTCTGGAATTTTGGACTCACATCCACCCCATGTGATTTTCAAACTACTAGGTTTAGGACTTGAATTTTGGCCATGTGGGAATTCAACAACATAACCTCTATGCCTTCTGCTGGCCCCTATAAGCAAGTTTTACCACGTGTATAAAAAAGAAATTTTCTTAATTTGTTAGATCTCTATTAAAATTTTTTTGAAAAATGGGGACCAGCAGATGGCTAGCAGATGGTTATGTCACTGATCTTCCACATAGTCAGCCACGGTTCAAGTCCCAGACCCGACAGCTTGAACTCATGCCAGGCATATGTGTATGTGTGCCCAAAATCCTGAGAGGAGACTGGAGGAGAAGGGATTGAGGCGTGGTCATGACTCCTGCATGGAGATTTCTCAATTGCTGTCTCTCTGCCTCTCTGGTGAATGCATGTGCCCTATAGCAAAAATCTCTCTTAAAAATATTTTTTTTTTGGAAAGCAAAACTTACTGTCAAAGTGAATTATAACCCCAAGGAACAAGACAAAGGTGTGTGCTTTCACTTCTTATACTAGTTGACACAATGCAGTAGATGGAATTCAGTGATATAAAAATGAAAAGGAAGAGGTAAAACTTTTCTTACTTGCTAGTAGTCTATTTTAAGCAATTTCAAGGTATAAAAAAATCTTTATATGAAAGTACTGTGTATAGTTTTATAGTAATAAATGTTACTATCAAGATAAATTGTCAAAACTGACCTGAAAAAGTTTACAAAGCACTGATTAAGTCAAACCCATGAATTGAAAAAATCCCTGCCCTCAATCTGTATTCTAAAGCACAGGCACAGGCATGTCAGCTGTGCTTTCTTTTTTCTTGTATTCACGATACAGCATATGCGTGTGCACCTGGCCCGGGGAGCACCCCTCACAGGCCTGGTCATGCCTCTGTCCCCTTCCTGCCATCTGTCTGGATCTCAGGCACGCACTCAACAAGTACACCCTGTGTGTTTGCACACTGCGGTCTCCATGTATGACTTGGCATCTCCTGAGCAGTGTGTTACCACTGCCCGTGGAGCTGGACTGGCAGTGCTTTTATTTGTTTTTATTATATATCTTGGATATTGCTTCTAGATAGTAAAGTTTATTATAAACTGTCATGGAGCATAAATACAGAAAACCAATTCTGCTTATAAATGTATTTTTGAAATCCTTTATGAAATACTAGCAGACCAAATCCAATAGGGTATATACATGGACAGATATTTACTGCTTTTTTTCTTCTGGATTAGGATCCTGTCTTCATGACTCTTAAACATTTTAGTGAACTAAAAATATATGAAGGAATTCCTTAGTTTTTATGGGGTAGCCCTCTCATAAACATCAGTTATCAACTTAGGATAAAATACAAAAGTCACTGAGGAGTAACCAGAAGTTAACAGAAACGAGGGAATTTCACCCTTGAAAGATGGAACCATACGGGGTGGCTTATGCTTGTCTCCTGCCAGCTCCCTAAAGATTCTCACCAGTTCATGCAGCATGGAATGACCCACGCTGAAGCAGATTGCTGTACCCTTGTCAGCTGGAGGTGTTCGAGGGTCGAGGGGAGGATGCCAGAGTAGCCGGAAATTGAAAAGGCACGTTCTGGAAAGGAGAAAGCTACAAAGTGGGAAGCCCTTACATCTGCATCTAAATTCTTCTGAAATCCTTAGCTGACCCATGAACTGTGCAGGTATATGGGAGACTCCACAAAACCCAGTGGAAAGTAACAACAGCTCAGTATGATTTGCTGATGAGGTGATCATGTGTTTGGGAAGCCAGGAGAATCAGTGTCTGTGTGGAGTCTCACTTATGATACATTGTATATTCCAAAATTACCTTTTAAAGTAGATTTTGCTAACGTTTTTGGTTTTTGGTAGTTTTCAGGATTTTGATATTCAGGGATCCAGAAGATGCAGTTTGGACTGGTTGACGATTGAAACATACAAAAATATTGAAAGTTACAGAGCTTGTGGGTCCACCATCCCACCTCCATATATCTCTTCACAAGACCACGTCTGGATCAGGTTTCATTCGGATGACAGCATCTCTAAGAAAGGTTTCAGGCTGGCATATTTCTCAGGTGTGTTTTTAAATAAGAAGGTACTGAACCGAGTTTTGTGGTATTACTGCTCACTCAGAGCTAATCTTTTCTTTTTTTAAAGAATTATTTTTATTTAACTTTCTCTCTCTCTCCCTCTCTTCTTTTCTTTCTTTCTTTAAATTTGACCAGAGAGGGACAGGGTGAGAGAGAGAGAAAGCAAGAAAGTAAGAAAGAAAGCCGCCAGGTCCGGGACTCAGGCTGTAGTGCCTTCACCATGCCACCTGCTGGCCCCCAGAGCTAACCCTTTAAACAATGTCTATTTAATTATGACTAGGCCCCTTAGGGCAGCTGAAATTGAGATTTAGAAACTAAAAGTTCAAATGCCCTCGAGCTGGGTCTCTTTTGTATAATCCTAATAAAATATTAGTTTTATATTTATAAACTGAGGTAAATTTCGTGTTTAAACATCGTAAATAGATTTACTTTCAAGTGTTAACCCACATCTTGGAAGTTATTTCAGAATATGTGGAGAACCCTGGTGTATACTTTATTGCTAAAAATTATTACATCTTTTGAAATTAATAGTCTTCTTAGCAAATATATGCTACTTTTTTATCTATTTTTTTCTTAAAAATGTAGCCTTTGTGATATTTATTTTGCTCTGAAGCACATTTTCTGCCACCCGTTTATCATAACTAAGTGACTAGTAGAGGAGTAAGTATTGATCCAGCACTGTCAGTTTGGGGGACTATACGAATCTAATGTCTGATTGTCTTTTCCTACCATGTTTTACATTGGGTTTGGATGCTAAAATTGTTGGAATTCTACAGGCACCTCAGTTTTCTCCTCCCCTTTCCTCTTTTATTTTATCTTACTTTCTTTTATTTTTATAATTTGCCCAAGGGAACATGCAACTCACCAAAGAGAGACACAGGGAGAGAGAAGGAAAGTGAGAAAGTACTCCCATAGGAGAGAGTCATGCTATAATTCCTTCTCTATCTCTCCTTTTGGGATTTTGAGCACACATACACATACACGGCTTATTTTCCAAGCAAGTAGGTCCAGGATTCAAACTACACCATGTCAAATCTAGCAACCTTAATCACCATGCCACTGGCTAGCCCTTTTTTATTTAAAAATGCATATTTTCTTTTATTAAGATGAGCGAGAGAGACAGACACCCTCAACCGGATCCTCACTCTGTGATCCTCTTCTAGCTCTATCGTCATCCAGGGTCATGGGTGAGCCCACATTCATGAAGACCCAAGATGCAAACCCAGAACCTTCTACATGGGTTCCAGCATCATGCAACAGTGCCCTACTGCCAGTGCCACCACAGCTGGGCTTTTTTTTTCTTATGAATACATTTATACCTTTAGATCAGATTTATGCAATATTTTGTAGTTCTGTTAACACAATAAAAATTGTAAAATGGAAATATCACTTTATGGTTATAAGGAATATTATAAACAGTATAAAATAATATAAAAGTATATGCAAAAATTTGAGTGTACCTATCAGGCTTGCAAAATTCAGTGATGTACCTAGCAAAATATTGTGTGTTTGCTTAGAGAGACAAGAACTAGAGAAAAATATGAAAAAATGTATTTTAAAAAGTAATGCTTGATGAATTTTTCATTAAGTAGTATCTATTATTGTTTTAATGATGTTTATACAATAAGTTATTTACAATTCTTAAGCAGTTCATCTTATTGGCTCATGTATCTGACACCATTTCATTAAATGTTCTGTAGTAAAATAGCTCTGATAAAAAAGAATTGGTCCATTCTCTGTAAATCAAAATGCACAGATCTTTATGAAGCATATAAGCATTTCTGAAATTGAATTATCGAGTAATTAGTGTGCCAAAACTACT